GCGGCGTGATGGAGGGACGCAGGCGATGTGGAAGGGGGGCCTGGACTGGGTCCAGAAAAGGATGACCTCCCCAGGACCTGCTGCGGTGACGCTCCTGTCCCACCCAGCTCCCAGACGGACTGCCAGCCTCGTCCTGAACAAGCTGCTCGTCTCTGGAGCTTCAAACCGTTGGCCAAAGGAGGCTCCCTTCACGCCTGGCCTAAAGCTGCCGTGGCCCTGAGATCCGCTCTCTTGCAAGTGCTGACTTGATGGTCCCACGATATTCCATCTTTAGAGCGTGGCTTAACAAACAGTGCCATGGGGCAGGCGTTGGTTGTAACAGTGAGACAGCACGTGGCACACCTGTATCCCATGTCAGAGTGCCTGGGTTCAAGTCCCAGCTCTGCTTCCGATTCCAGCTTCCTGCTAAAGCACACCCTGGGAGGCAGTAAGTGTCGGTGCAAATGATCGGGGTCCCCCTGGAGACCTGATTGTGTTCCTGGCCCCCGACTCTGGCTGGGCTCAGCCTCAGCTGCCGTGGGCATTTGGGTGTGAACCAACAGATGGTGGATCCGTGTGTGTGTGTGTGTGTGTGCGTGCGTGCGTGTGTCTTTCTGTCTCTCTGTCTTTCTGCCTCTCTGTCTTTCTGCCTTTCAAATAAGTAAAAATGAAAAAACAAAGCCAAAGCCAGTGCCATAGACTGCACCAGGGAGGCCAGTGCCCCTAGGACCTCCACGCCCTCACTCCCCAGTGGGCGCTGGCCAGCAGGCCCTTTCTCACTTCCCCTTGACACGCAGGTGTCACACTCACAGCTTCCTCCACCCTCAACAATTTCTCCCGGGGCACAAGTCGGGGCTCGAGGTTGAAGAAGGAGGAGATCCACAGGACGGCAGTACCTCCCACAGAATCCCTGGGGGCCCAGAAAGAAGGTCCTAGGCTTCCAGGTTCCAGGGAAAAAAAAGTCCTGGATTCACATCACTGTACCGGTCTGTCCAGGGAACTGCTGCTTCCGGCCCCGCCTGGCTGCTGAGCGCCCACCCCCGGACCAGGCCTCTGCCACCCAGCAAGCCCCTGCCTTACACCTGCCCCTCAGGTCGGATTTCAACTCCGCAGCGATGCATGTGACGGGCAGTCCTTGGGTGGCTGGGACTTGCCCTGCAAGGAGGCTTAGAAATGTATTGTGAGGCTGGCGCGGTGGCGTAGCGGGTAAAGCTGCTGCCTGCAGTACCCACATCCCACATGGGCGCCGGTTCGAGTCCTGGCTGCTCTACTTCCTATCCAGCTCTCTGCTATGGCCTGGGAAAGAAGTGGAAGACAGCCTGAGTCCTTGGGCCCCTGCACCCATTGGGGAGACCTGGAAGAAGCTCCTGGCTCCTGGCTTCGGATCGGCTCAGCTCCAGCCATTGCGGCCAACTGGGGAGTGAACCAGCAGATAGAGGACCTCTGTCTCTCTCTCCCTCTCCTTCTCCCTCTCCCTCTCTCTCTCTCTCTCTCTCTCTCTCTGCCTCTCCTTCTCTCTGTGCATAACTCTGACTTTCAAATATATAAATAAATCTTAAAAAAAAAAAAGAAATGTGCCATAAGCTCTCTAGTCCCGCAGGACTGTGGTAATCTAACCATCCAGTTCAATCCCACTCGTTTTGTGCACCCTACTGAAGACATTCCTGACTTGGTTGCTAATATCCTTGACCACACCCCCCACACACACACCCACACACAACTAGGTCACAGAAGCAGCGGCTCCCCTGGACACAGTTAGGAAGCTGAGCTGTCAAATCAAGCGGCTGTTGCTGGAGCGACAGCTCCGGATTCTCAGTGCCTCCTCCGCGCACGGCACCAGAAAACAGACTTCTCCAAGCCCGCCTCCCTCTGCCACTAAGTCAGTTCAAATGCAAGGGTCCTGTGCGTGTGTCTCCTTGTGGAATCGCACTCAGAGACCTAGCTGTAGGGTCTGAGTCTCAGCTCCTCCGCTTCTGATCCAGCTTCCTGCCAATACACTTGGTAAGGCAGTAAATGATGGCTCAAGTACTTGGGTCCTTGCAACCCATGAGGGGACCTGGAAGGCGTTCCTGGGTCCTGGCTTTGGCCTGGTCTGTTGCAGCCACTGAATCAGTGCATGGAAGATCTCTCGCCCTCTCTCTGTCTCTCTCTCTCTCTGCCTAATACTCTGCCTTTCAATTAAACAAATAAATCTTAAAAAAAAGGCATGTAGTCTAAAAAAGAAACCCACTTTAAGCATAAAGACAAACACAGACTGAAATTCAAGAGATGGACAAAGTTGCCCCATGCTAACCATAATCAGAAGAGAGTGAGGTAGCTACAGGAACTCAAGGTTGACTTTAGAGCAAGGAAGGTGATAAGGGACAAAGAGGGCCATTCACATAGTGACAGAGGGGTGGCTATGGTTTGAAACCTGCTCCCAAGTTCCTGCATTGGGAACTTAACCCTCAAGGCAGTGGTGTTGGAGGTGGGGCTTAACCAGCCGTAACAGGCCTTCACAGCATCAGTGTAAGTAAGGCCGAAGCTGACAGAACTGCACGGTGGAGTAGACGGCGGAGACTTGGCTGTGGACAGAACCGGCAGGCAGCCTGGATCCGAGCAGCACTATTCACCAACCAGGCCACGGCAGTCACAGAGCGCTTCACCCACAGCGTTCTTCTCAAGCACACGATGAACACGCCCCAGGACACACCACAGTCCGCTCAGACAGCATGCCTTCGCAAATATAAGACTAGAATTCCTCCGAACTCATTCGATGAGCCCAGAACTACCCTAAGTAAACTAAACAAAAAGACATCGTAAGAAAGGACAACACAGACCAACATCTCTTATGACTACAGGTACAGAAACGCTCTACAAATTTCCAGCAATTCAAGTACATAGTCCCTAAAATGAACTGTACACTACAACCAGGTGGGATGTATTGCATTTACGCAAGGCTGATTCAACATTTGAAAATCAGAGAATGTATTCCATCCCATCAACAGGTTAAAGAAGAAAACCCACAAAATCCAATATTTACTCATGAGTAAAAACAAAAAAACCTCAGCAAACCAGGAATAAAGGGGAACATCCTCAACTTGATAAAGAATACCGACAAAAGGGCCAGTGCCGTGGCTCAACAGGCTAATCCTCCACCTTGCGGCGCCGGCACACCGGGTTCTAATCCCGGTCGGGGCACCGGATTCTGTCCCGGTTGCCCCTCTTCCAGGCCAGCTCTCTGCTGTGGCCCGGGAGGGCAGTGGAGGATGGCCCAAGTGCTTGGGCCCTGCACCCCATGGGAGACCAGGAGAAGCACCTGGCTCCTGCCATCGGATCAGTGCGGTGCACCGGCTGCTGTGCGCCAGCCGTGGCGGCCATTGAAGGGTGAACCAACAGCAAAGGAAGACCTTTCTCTCTCTCTGTCTCTCTCTCTCTCACTGTCCACTCTGCCTGTCAAAAGGAAAAAAAAAAAAAGAATACCGATAAAAAACGTGCAGCCAACACCATGCTTCCTGGAGAGAAACTAACTGCCTTCCTGTTAAAATCTGCCACCAGACAAGGACGTCCACTCTCCGCATTCTTGCTCAGCCTCATGCCGAAGCCCTAACCAAGGCAACAAGGCAGGGCAAGGAAAGAGAAGGTTACTGATTGGGAAGTAAGAAATAACACTTCTTTTGCTGATGATATTATTATCTTTGCAGGAAATCCCAAAGAATCAACACCAACGAAATGCTGGAATTAATAATGACAAAATCAAGGATTTGGTATGCAGGATACAAGATTAGCATACAAAAATAAATTGCTTTTCTGTATTGCAGTAATAAACAATGGAATTTGAAGTTAGAATCACTATCATTTATTTAGTACCCTCAAACATGAAACACTTAGGCATAGCTCTTACAAAATATTTACAAGATCTATGAAAGGTAAACTCTAAAACTCAGATGAAAGACATCACAGAAATAAATGGAGACACCTTCCACATTCATAGATAGAAAGACTCCATATTGTAAAGATCTCTGTGTTCCCAACTTGATCTACAAACTCAACACAATCTCCACCATAATCCCAGCCAGTTATTTTATGGAAATCGACTAACTGATTTTCAGGTTTATATGGAGAGATAGAAAGACCCAGAACAACCAGTACTTCATGGGAGAAAGAGGGTTGACACCACTGATCAAAGACTTGGCATAAAACTATAGTCCTCCGTTCACTATGATATGGGCAAAGGAATGAACCAATGGATCAACTGGACTCAAACAGAAAGTTCAGAGACAAACCCCACAGAAATGTAGTCCACAGCCATTGAGGAAGGAGCAAAGGCAACTCACTGGAGAAGGAACAGTCTGTTCACCCAGTGGCGCTGCAGGGTCTCTCCAGCTGGCCAAGTAGGGATGCCCAGCACTGACTCCTCCACAGGGAGCAGCAAAGTGACAAATAAACAGCTGCATTTAGAAGTGAGTGTCCAAGAATTCAGCAAGAGAGATAAAGGAACTCCACAGGACAGGGAGACCTGGGATGGGCACACAAAGAGGAGAACAGAGACCACTGTCCAGGGGGACCCTGGCCCCAGGGCTCAGAGGTGACAGGAGGAAGCCCCCTGGCTGCGGGAAGGGGAAACGGGAGAGCCCCCACAAAGCCCAGGATCCATGGGCATCCCAGGAAGGGGAGTTGCCCGGGATGCTCTGCTTCCAAGAAGGACCTCACAGTCTGTTCCCCTCCACCTCCGGAGCACAGGCAGTGGCAAGGTGCCATCCTTTTGAGAAAGGAGGGGCTTTTGACTTCATACTGCCTTAGGAGAGCCAACCCTCTACAGAGCCCCAAGCCTGGAACCCCACGATTCCAAAGAGACCCAACAGAGCAAGAGTGACCCGAGCACGCAAGCCCACACAGGACTCAACTGTTCCAGGAAGAACAGCAGGGAGATCCTGCCCACAGGATCCTAAAAGTAGGGGCCCACTTGCACCCTCAGACTTGGAGACATCCCCCCTCTTCCCACCTGGACCATTGGCTCACCACAGCTGGGACCCACGCACCCTGGAACACACAGGCAGGGCTCCTGCACTCCCAGGTCCTTGGCTGGCTGTGGAGACGTGTGCTCCACCTCGCCTGCCTGCCAGTGCTGCTCCCTTGACCCAGCCCCTCAGGCAGCTACTGGAACTGCGTGCCCTACCCAGACTGCAGGCTACAGGTGCTCCTGACCCAATTGCTGGACTCCTGCAGCCCTCAGGGAATGAGGAGCAGCCCCAGGCCCTTAGCACCACTGCCTGTGATTACAGCAGAAGGCGGCTTAGGGGGGAAGTGCCGCGGTGTGCAAGTGGAATGAAAGCCCAGGCGGCCTGCCCCACTGACACCCAAAGGCGTGTCTTCAGGGAGAATCTTTCAATCCATAAAAGCCACTTCTTAAAAGCAATAGAGATACTGAGCCATGAGACGTGCAAATATGAGCATAGAGACACAAGAAGTGTGAAACAGGCAGTGTGGTGCCTAAAAGGAACACCATAATGATTTTTTTAAGATTTATTTATTTACTTGAAAGTCAGAGTTACACACACACACACACACACAGAGAGAGAGAGAGAGAGAGAGAGAGAGAGAGAGAGGTGTTCCATCCACTGGTTCACTCTTCAGTTGGCCGCAATGGCTGAAGCTGCGCTGATCCGAAGTCAGGAGCCAGAAGCTTCTTCCAGGTCTCCCATGCGGGTGCAGGGGCCCAAGCACTTGGGCCATCTTCCACTGCTCTCCCAGGCCACAATGAAGAGCTGGATAGGAAGTAGAGCAGCCGGGACTTGAACTGGAGTCCATATGGGATGCTGGCACTGCAGGCGGTGGCTTTACCCACTATACCATAGAGCTGGCCCCCACAATAATGTTTTAGTAACTAACCCCAAAGGGAAAAATATTGACAAAATACTTAATAAACAATTTCGACAAGTGGTTATTTTTACTCAGAGATATAAGAGCACACAGACAGTTTAAGAAAATCAGGAGGGGCCGGTGCTGTGACACAGAGGGTTAAAGCCCCAGCCTGCAGCGCCGGCATCCCATATGGGCACTGGTTCATGTCCTGGCTGCTCCTCTTCCCACCAGCTCTCTGCTGTGGCCTGGGAGGGCAGTAGAAGATGGCCCAAGTGCTTGGGCCCCTGCAGCTGCATGGGAGACTCGGAAGAAGCTCCTGGCTCCTGGCTTTGGATCAGCACAGCTCCGGCCGTTGCAGCCATCTGGGGAGTGAACCAGTAGATGGAAGACCTCTCTCTCTGGCTCTACATCTCTCTGTAACTCTGTCTTTCAAATAAATAAAATAAATCTTTTTAAAAAAAGAAAATCAGGAAAACTATACATGATATGAGAAAGGAATTTAGCAAAGAGATAAGGAGCTTGAAAGAAAAGCAAGCAGATGCTTTGGAAATGAAGAACTCAATAAGTCAAATAAAATTACAGTTTGAAACCTAAGTCATACAGAGAAAAGGATGTCTGAATTTGGGATATCTGGATAAAGGAAATAAATAACAAAGATCCAGAGCAAAAATAAATGAAATAGAGGATAAAAAACAATATAAAGGACTGGCGTGGTGGCACAGGGCGTTAAGTTGCCTGCACACTGGCATCCCGTATGCTAGTTCCAATTCAGTTCCCTGCTTTAGCGCCTGGGAAAGCAACAAAATGCGGTTCAAGTGCTTGGGCCCCTGCACCCAGGTGGGAAACCCTGATGGAGTTCTTAGCTCTTAGCTTTGGCCTGGCCCAGCCCTGGCCGTTGAGGCCATTTGGGGTGTGAACCACTGGGTTGTGATTCAAATAAATAAAATTTCAAAGGCAGAGTTACAGAGAGAGGGAGAGATAAAGAGAGAGATCTTCCACGCATTAGTTCACTCCTCAAATGGCCACAATGGCCACAGCTGGGCCAATCTGAAGCCAGGAGCCACGAGCCAGGAGCATCTTCCATGTCTCCTACGTGGGTGCAGGGGCCGAAGTACTTGGGCCATCTTCTGCTGCTTTCTCAGGCCATAGCAGAGAGCTGGATTGGAAGAGAAGCACCCGGGACATGAACTAGCACCCATGTGGGATGGCTTTACCAGCTACACAATAAAGCTGGCCCCAATAAATAAATAAATCTTTAAAAAGAAGGAAAAAAAAACAATATAAAAGATCAATGAAATGAATATTTGGTTCTTTTTAAAGATAAGCAAAGTAGACATTTATTTAGTTAGACGAAACAAAAAGAAAAATGCAAGACTCAAATGAATACAATCAGAGATGGAAAGAGAGACATTGCAACTGACCCCACAGGAATAGGAAGATCATTTGGGACTGTTATGAAGAACTACGCGCCAACTAACAGGAAAACCTCAAGGAAATGAACAGTTTTGGACACACAAAATCTACCAAGGGGCCGGTGCTGTGGCCTAGCAGGTAAAGCCGCTGTCTGCAGTGCCGGCATCCCATATGGGCACCGGTTCAAGTCCCAGCTGCTCCACTTTTGATCCAGTTCTCTGTGTGGCTTGGGAAAGCAGTGGAAGATGGCCCAAGTCCTTGGGCCCCTGCACCCATGTGGGAGACCCTGAAAAAGCTCCTGGCTCCTGGCTGCAGATTGACGCAACTCCAGCCGTTGTGGCCATTTGGGGAGTGAACCAGCAGATGGAAGACCTTTCTCTCTCCTCTCTCTCTCTCTCTGGCGCTCTCTCTCTCTCTCTCTCACTGTAACTCTCTCTCTCAAATAAAATCTTTAAAAAATATGGAATCAACCAAAATTCCCATCAAAAGATGAATGGATAAACAAAATATGGTACATATACATAATGGAGTAATTTTTGGCCATTAAAAGAATGAAATCCTCTCATTTTCAGCAAAATGGATGAAGCTAGAGGATAGTATGTTAAGTGAAATAGGCCAGACACAGATAGACAAGTGCTGTTTGTTCACCCTCATATGTGGAAGCTTAAAAAAACCTCAGTCTGGGGGCTGGCCTTTTGGTACAGTGAGTAAAGCCACCGCCTGCGATGCCAGCATCCCATATGTGTGCAGTTTGAGTCCCAGCTGCTCCACTGCTGATCCAGCTCCCTGCTAATGTGCCTGGGAAAGCAGCAAAGGATGGCCCGAGTGCTTGGGCCCCTACACCCTCTTGAGAGATGCAGAAGAAGCTCCTGGCTCTGGCCTGGCCTGGCCCTAGCCACTGTGGCCATTTGGGGAGTGAACCAGCAGATTGGACGCTCTCTCTGTCTCTTCGCTTCTACCCCCACTCTCTAACTGTGCCTTTCCAATAAATAAAAATAAATATTTAAAAAAAAAACCTCAATCTGAACATAGAATAGCAATTACTGGAGACTGGTATAGGAGTAGTGGAAGAGGGAAACTGGATGACAAGAGCGGAGCCGGATTCAGACGGAAGGGTTAAATTAAGCTCCTAGGGAGACACAGCGCAGTGGGGTGACTATGGTTCGCAGCAACCCCCCATATGCTTCATGAACAAATAGAGGAGAGGAAGGAACTCCACGCCTCCAGTAATACAGGTGACATTAAGGAGGGGAAATGCTGATTGCACACATTATGAACACGGATTGAAATGTCAGGCTGTGCCCCAAAAAGATGCACAGTTATTGTTAATAAAAATAACACGTTAGTGAGGGTGTGGAGGAAAGGGGACTTTCATACCTCTGCCGGGGGGAATGGGAATGAGTGCAGCCCTTATGGAGAGAAGGATGGAGGCTCCTTAAAACGCTAAAAATGGCCGGCGCTGCGGCTCACTAGGCTAATCCTCCACCTGCGGTGCCGGCACACCGGGTTCTAGTCCCGGTTGGGGCGCCGGATTCTGTCCCGGTTGCTCCTCTTCCAGGCCAGCTCTCTGCTGTGGCCAGGGAAGGCAGTGGAGGATGGCCCAAGTGCTTGGGCCTTGCACCCGCATGGGAGACCAGGAAGAAGTACCCGGCTCCTGGCTTCGGATCGGTGCAGCGCTGGCCGTAGCGGCCATTTGGGGGGTGAACCAACGGAAGGAAGACCTTTCTCTCTGTCTCTCTCTCACTAACTCTGCCTGTCAAAAAAAATTTTTAAAAAAAAGCTAACAATAGGCCTCCCACATGATCCAGCTGTCCCACCTGTGCGTATGCATCCAAAGGAAACGAAATCAGCGTATCGAAGAGATACCGGCGCTTCACATTTACTGCTGCACCAGTCACAGTCGCTGAGATACGGAATCAACCTAGATACCCGCTGACAGATGAATGGACAAGGAAAATTGCCATCTATACACAATGAACTATTCTTCAGCCACAAAAAGAATTATAGTCTATCATGTGTAGCAGAATGGATGCAACAATGGATAGAATTGGAGAATATAATGTTAAGTGACATAAAAGAGACTTAGAAAAACAAATAGTACATGTTCTCTCTCATGTGGAAACTACAAAAAAAAAAGCACTCTGAGTGTAGCAGAGTGATTACTAGAGAGTGGGGAAGAGGAAGAAAGAGGATAGAGAGAGGTTAGACAACGGAAACCAAAACATGGTTAGATAGAATAAGTTTTAGTGGGGCCGGTGCTGTGGTGTAGCAGGGGAAGCTGCCTCCTGCAGTGCCAGCATCCATTATGGGTGCCAGTTCAAGACCCAGCTGCTCCACTTCCTATCCAGCTCTCTGCTGTGGTCTAGGAAAGCAGTGGAAGATGGCCCAAGTGTTTGGGTCCCTGCACCCACCTGGGAGACCTGGAAGAAGCACCTGGCTCCTGGCTTCAGATTGGCTCAGCTCCAATTGCAGTCATTTGGGGAGTGAACCAGCTGATGGAAAACCTCTCTCTCTCTCTCTCCTCCCTCTCTCTTCCTGTGTCTCTGTAACTCTGCCTTTGAAATAAATAAATAAGTCTTTAAAAAAAATAAGAAGTTCTAGTGTCCTACAGCACAATGAGGTGACAAGATTATACCAGCCCGTTAGGAAACGTCCTTGTGTGATTCTCTGAAGCTGGAAGGTGTCATCAGACCCCGAGAGCACAGCTCCTTGTGTTGGCCGCGGGCTTTGTGTGATGGCCACATGTCGATGTTGCTTGGCTGGTTGTAACGAATCCGGTTCAGGGTGTTGGTGGTGGAGAAGCGGTGTGTTGGGGTCGAGGCGGTGGCTGTGTAGGCCTCTGTACTCTCAGCTCGAGTTGACTGTGAACTTCACTGGAGAGACGGAGAAGGAGGCGCAGCGTTCCGTCTGCCAGCCTCTGCGAAGCAAGGGAAGCAGCAGGAGGCCGGGTCACTGCTGCGGGAGCTCACCTGCGAAGCGGCTCACCTCGCCAACTCCTCCAGCTAACTCTCCGCACCTGAGAGGGCCAGCTCCCTCGGGAAACCGCTGCACCTGGAGTGCTTGAGCGCTCTGTGTCGCACAGCAGTCAGCATTCTGTTGGGAAAGCTCTGATGCTCCGAGCTTGGAAGGATGAGTGATGCATTGTGGGAAACAGACCTCGGACGTGTTTCGGAGGAGCTGAGGATGCCACAGCTCAAAAGAAAGAGGGAGTTAGAGGATGGGAGAAGAGTTCCTGCAAGGCCGCCTAACCCACGGGGCAGAGGGTGAGTTGGAGCTTCCAAGGAGATCTGAACAACGTTCTCTAACTGCCTACGTGAGGTGGCACAGGGGCTTCTGGAGAGATCACGGGGAGCTGTCATCCCGCTGCACCTCCACCTCTAAGTTCTGCAGCCAAAACCAGGTTCTGGGCCAGGGCTGCTGTCGGTGATCAGAAGGAAAAGCTGGAAGCAAAGTATATGAGGACGAGCCCTGAGACATCTGAGTACCCGCCCTGCTGGGACCCTGACCATGAGGAAGTGCAGAGAATGAGGGTCCCTGGCTTCCTTCTCCCCTCTAGAATTCACCTGTTGGCTCTTGCTAACCCAGAACTAGATAAGGGAAAGAGACAAAGTTCCCAGATCAACCCAACAGATGGCAGGACACAATCTTGTGTAGCTGTGTGTGTGTGTGTGTATATGTGTGTCTCTGTGTGTGTCTGTGTGTGTGTCTCTGTGTGTGTATGTGTGTGTGTCTGTGTGTGTCTGTGTGTGTATGTATATGTGTGTCTGTGTGTGTGTGTGATTATAGGAGTGATGCTGGTCTCCACTGCTAGGCTGAAATGGCATCAGAGGAGACACTGTTTCTCTTTTGCTCACCACCGTCTCCCCCCATATCGTACTTGAATTGCCTGGATTATTGAGTAGGTCTTCAACAAACACCTGTTGAGGTAACAGTGCTGTTTTATTTATAAGAACACATGCAACATTAAAAGTCTAGCAAAATCTTCTGTTGGCATGGCATGGAGGAGCAGGCATTCTCATACTGGTCACAGGAAAACAAACTAGTTCAACCATTCGAGGAAGGAATTGGGCAGTCCCGGACAAAACTACACATGTACTTCCCTTTGACCCACTAATCCTACTGCTAGGACTCCTTCCAGGAGACACGTGTGCCATGTTCAAGGTCGCCCACTGAAGCACTGTCATCGCAAAATGTTGGGAACGACCCAAATGCCAATCCCTGGGAGAACGGTTGAGAAATGACGGTCCATCCATGCAAAGGAGCAGTAAAAAGAGAGAGTAAAAAGAGTAAAAGGAGAGTAAAAAGAGAGCAGTAAAAGAGAGAGAGGCAGATTCCTATCTGTTGGAAATCACTTCATATCAGAAGCAAAGCTGTGTGGTGAACAACACAAACTGAGAGGGTGTCCAGCAGGGGTGGGGACCGCCCAGCCCGTGGACCATATTAAGCTGGCAAAATCATCTTGCCTTGCCCACAGGTGGAACTCCAAATTCAATACATTTATAGCAGGCTACTCTTGAAGTGGATACTTTTGCATGGTCTGAAGATGATGCTGTAAGTACCCAAACAGCCCAAGGGTTCCCCTCCACAGGAGAAAAAAAGTAAAAGAAAATACGTAGGCGTCTGCTCATTCATGCAAATGAATCTCAGCAAGAACCAATGAGAAACTCATTGGCTTCTGATTGGCCCAGCTCTGGCCATTGCAGCCATCTGGGGAGTGAACCAGCAGATGGAGAATCTCTCTCTCTCTCTCTCTCTCTCTCTCTCTCTCTCTCTCTCTCTAACTCTGCCTTTCAAATAAATAAATAAATCTTAAAAAAAGAAAACCTGGTATATACCACCTTCACCAAGTGATCGAGGTCAACCTCAGCAGTAACAAGACTTATCATGATCATGGGCCATTGATAAGATCCCTGAGAAGCGCACGTATCATTTCTGTGATATTGCTAAAAAATTGTCTTCCCTCAATCCAATCATGGGAACATATCATGCAAACTCATATTGAGGAATATCCTGGAAAAAAAAATCCCTGAAGTCCATCTTGCTCCTCGGCCATCTCTACCACTGCTGTGGGTTGGGGGCTGCCTCACACCTATCATGGGAAGTCGGTGGTCACAGAGCAGATGGCCACAAAGTCGCTGGTGTCAATCAACTCCAGCCTTCCATATGCTATGAAACATGGGCCGTGTGAGCTGTCACAAGCCAACGCCAAAGCCCATCATACAAGGCAAATGGAAAAGTCACCCTCGCCTACAGCTGCCCAGCTCTGAGGCTGTCCGACACGGAGGACCACGCCATGGTGGCCAACACCAATGTTCATCAGGACGGTGACAATGACACAGAGCTGGCACCACGTGTGGAAAATGCTACAGAGTGTGCACCCTGGTGATCACTGATCCAGGAGATGTTGACAGCATTGGAAGCATGGCAGAACAGATGGAGGAAAGTCAACCAGGCAAAATTTTCCTTTAATAAAACCTGCCAGAGGTTGTTTTTGAAAAATCCTGAAAAGGTGTGAAATGGAGAACTCCTGGCTGAGGTTCCCAGGGTCCCTGCGTGTTGGAAAAATGCTATCCCCTGAGTCCTGGACCCGATACTGGCCTGGGGCTCCAGGATCTGTGGCAGGAAGGGCGTTCTGCCTATTGTAGCTACAGGTGCTACAGGTGAGGTGTTTAGCCAGCGGGGCTGGCCTGGCCCCGGGCTGAGCCCTCTGCACCCTTGCTCAGGCATGAAACCCACAGCTCCAGGAGGGGAGAGCAGAGGGGCAGGGAGGGAGGCTCCCAGATTCTGAGGCTGAGCTTGCTCACCCTGGTTTTCTGCTGGGTGTTGCATTCCACCAGCTGCGGGCTGAAGCGATGGAAGCTGATGGTCTCGCAGCTGTGGAGGTCAAAGGTACAAGCTAGGGTGGTCTCATCCGAAGCTGCTCCAGGCTCTGCCCCGGCTGCTGCCGGCCGTGTGGCCTTCGCGGCTCTTCCTGGGCTTGCAGCAGCGTTGCCCATCTCCGCCTTCGTCTCCGCCCGTCCTCCTCCCTCAGTGCGTGTGTCTGTGTCCTCACAGAGAACCCCAGTCGGGTTGGATTGGGGCCCACCCCAATGGCCTTGACTTGCCTGCCTGTGCAATGGCCTATTTCCAGAGAATTCACATTCTGAGGTCATGGGGATGAGGACTTGAACACAGGAAGGGAACCCAAGTCAACCCATAACACTAGCACTGAAGTGAATTCCCCTTCCGAGAGGGAAGCTTCCTGGATGGCTCTCTTTTTAAGATTTGTTATTTATTTGCAGGAAAGAATTACGGGGGTTGGGGGGGAGATATGAAGAGAGGGAGAGAGAGAGAGCGAGAGAGAGGCTCTTCCATCTCCTGGTTCACTCGCCAAATGGCCACAATGGCTAGGACTGGGCCAGATGGAAGCCAGAAGCTAGGAGCTTCTTCCAGGTCTCCCATGTGGGTGCAGGGGCCCAAGCACTGGGGCCATCCTCCACTGTTTTCCCAGACCATTAGTAGGGAGCTAGATCAGAAGTGGAGTAGCCAGGACTCGAACCGGCACCCATATGGGATGCCAGCATTGCAGGCAATGACTTTACCTTCTACCCCACAACACCAGGCCCTGGCTGGCTCTTAGGATAGACCAACTACCATTCTCTTCCGGACTGTGGATTCCCTAGGGGCAGGCCTGGGGATGGCCCCGCAGGTGTCCTGGTTTGTAGGGGCTCTGGGTGTACTTCCTTTGAACAAATGATTGAGAGACTGAATGAAGAGTACGAACAACCTCTTCCCTGTTCCCAGATGGCCCACTGAGTGATGCTCCCTCAGCAAAGGGCCCCCTTGTCTGTTCACGAGTCCACAGCCTGCCACCACAGAAGGACCTTGTCACCTTGAGAGTGGCCGCAGAGAAGCACTGCCCGGTGGTCACACTCAAAGCCAGTAGCGGAAATTTACTGAGTTAGAAGCTGAGCCTTTCGGCTTCGAGATGACCTGAAATTTATTCTGGCGCCAGCTCGTGACACGTAAGGTCTCAGCCTGCAACTCTGTTTTGCCAGCTGATGAGGGGAAGACAGGGGATTACTTAGAGGCATGGGTGAGCCAATCACGGAGTCCACCAGTGGACAACACCCATCCCCATCCGCTACCTCACCCACACCCAGCGTCCTAGACGGAGCAGCTACTTAAAGGGAGCTGGAACTCAGAAAAAAAACCAGAGAGTCACACGGAAATAAAATAGCAACTCCAGCATCCTCCAGAGGTAAGTACCCAGAAATGAAGCCTAGTCAAGAGCAGGAGAAAGCCGGCGCCGCGGCTCACTAGGCTAATCCTCCGCCTGCGACACCGGCACTCTGGGTTCTAGTCCCAGTTGGGGCGCCGGTTGCTCCTCTTCCAGGCCAGCTCTCTGCTGTGGCCCGGGAGTACAGTGGGGGATGGCCCAAGTGCTTGGGCCCTGCACCTGCATGGGAGACTAGGAGAAGTACCTGGCTCCTGGCTTTGGATCGGCACAGCGTGCCAGCTGTAGCGGCCATTTGGGGGATGAACCAATGGAAGGAAGACTTTCTCTCTGTCTCTCTCTCTCTCTGTCTCTCTCTCTCTCACTGTCACAGTCTGACTCTGCATGTAAAAAAAAAAAAAAAAAAAGAGCAGGAGAACTCCTGGCCTTTGGCTGACTTTGAGAACATTTGTGTCGTTTGTGAGTGTGTGTGCATGTGTGTGTAAGCATGTGTTGATACATGGGCACAAGAAAGCCTGGGCTTAATGTGGTGTGCACGGGAGAGTGAGTGTGGGAGTGTGTGTGTGCATGCGTGAGCTACTGAAGGAGAGTGCGTTTGCACCAGCTCAAGCATGTGTGTGTGCAGGCATGCGTGTGTGTGTGCAAGTGTGCATGAGCATGTGTGAACAGGGTGGGAGCATCTAGCAGGATAGGATGCTGCTTAGCGCTGAAGTGAAGTATTCTGGAAGTTTCCAAGCCTTGACTCCCACGTGCAGACACGCAAGCTACATCCAATGGGAGACGCAACCTCTGACCACAGGAACCTCCTGCTTTTCTGGAATGAACTGGGGTTCCAACCCACTAAGGGTTTTCAGTCGTCAGCCTATCGTATAGGGTCTCCAGGGGGCTGAGGGACTCGCGTGGATGACACTGATCCCCAGAGCTGGGAAGGGTCAGGAGGCGGAGTGTGTGTACAGCGTTGGAAGTCACTCCATGTGTCTTCCCTGAGGACAGAGGGGGCCACCCTGCACATGGCTTTGGAGGGGGAGGAGCATGTGTATGCTCTCTGGGGTTGGTGGGTTGGGCGGAGAGCAGGGGCCACGGCAGAAGCTGAGGCCTCCTAGGAGAGCGGTGCAGGCCAATCCATGCGCACTTGTCCCTCACAGGACTCTCGTCATGAAGGCCCTGCTGCTGTTGGCAATGATCATGGCCTTTGGTGAGTGTTGAACCTGACCTCAGCAGACGTGGGGCAGCCCAGGGAGGGAAACACCCCAGACCCGTTTTCCCACCCATTGCTGCTGTCCTCTGTCAGGGGGAGGAGTAGACACTTCGGGGTTGGGGCAGGAAGTTTGGAGAGTAACAGAGGAGGAGGCCACAGGGCCCCGTGCCCCATGCCCAGGCCATTTCCCAATTTCTTTTCAGGCTTGTGGGAGGCCCATGGGAATCTTCTGAATTTCCGGAAAATGATCAAGTTCACGACGGGAAAAGAACCTTCAACCACTTACGGCTTCTACGGCTGCTACTGCGGCCTGGGTGGCACAGGGACCCCCCTGGACGCGACAGATCGGTGAGGCCCCCAGCCCTCCCTTCCCTCCGCTGACTTCCGGCCCCAGCAGGGCTGGTGCTGCCCGCGCTCAGGGGTCCCAGGAGGTGCCAGCCGGAAAAGCTGCCAAGGTGTTAGACTTCTGCTCTAGATGATTCCAGAGCCACTGAGTGTCTCCCCGGGATCCAGGGGGTGACACCACAGGGCACCAGGTCCCCTGCAGCTGTGGGAAGCCCCCCAACAGGATGTGTTCCTCCCCAGGTGCTGTGCTACCCATGACTGTTGCTACACCCGCCTGGAGAACAGTGGCTGTGGCACCAAACTCCTGAACTACCACTACAGCCTCAGCGGGAACACCATCACCTGCGGTGAGTGAGGGCCGCGCCGCCGCCAGGCTTCTCCCATGGGTTCACTGAGCGCACGGTGTGCTGGGCGCCGCAGACAGACACAAAGGGACATGGTCCCTGCAAAAGAGGCTCCGAGATGAGTGGGAAGGAAAATGAGAACAGTACGTGTGAAACACTCCGGAAGGGAGGAAGCGCTCAAACCAGGGCCAGACGCTTAAGGTCAGCCCCGGAGAGCAGCACCATCTCAGCTGGGCTGGAGCCATGCTGCAGACAGCCAGGGAGGGGCACTGCGGGCATGGCAAGGAGAGATCACAGCCCGGACATGAGGGACCAGAGCAGGTGCAGACGCCACCCTGTGCTGCCCAGGGAGACTGAGCAGGAGGGGGAGTGGGGAGCAGTGACGCTGGGGAGGGAGGAAGGGGCTGAGGCAAGCCAGGCCCTGAGCCCGGGAGGCATCTGGAGTTTGTCCCAGAGCAGCAGGGAGCAGGTACGCACAGGAGTGAGGGTCACCTGCACTTCAGGACTGGCCCCGCCTGCAGGGTGGATGCGACAGGAAGGGGAGGAGTGAGGGGGCGGGGCATAGAGCAGACAAATGCTGAGAGCAGGTGGGGGTCAGGAGGGAGGAAGGGGTGGAGAATGAAACCAAGATGCATTTGAGGCAGCGCCAGCCCAGTGTGGCGATGGCCTGGGTAGGGGTGGGGTAGGGAGCGCCTGGTCTGTGACTGTGGGGGCACCACGGAGATGAGGGTGGCAGGAGCCAGGGTGGAGTGTGGGGAGGGGCAGTTCTATCAGTGCACAGGGGCAGGTGGAGGGGGACTTGCAGCTGGTGGGGGGCTCTGGCCTGGGCCACACTCAGAGGCAGCAGCAGGGAGCTGCAGGGGGTCTGGCGCTCCCCCACTGGGTGGCTCAAGGCCCAGGAAGGAGACAGAGGGGGATGGGCACCCAGAGATGAGGCCAGGTGGGGGAGCAGGTCCGGGTGTCAGTGAGGAGATGACTGATAACACCCGCTGGAGTGGGGGCCGGCCATGACGGGGCCAACAGCGCTGCTCGGACCGAGAGGCAGGCAGGCCCCCGGGGGCACAGGGAGCTCTCCAGGCAGGGTGACGACCAAGGCAGAGGAGAGCCGGCCGGGCAGTGGGAGAACGCGAGGACGGGACCGGCAGTGGAGACTCTGAGTGGAGAGCCTGGCGCTGCAGGGAGCAGAGAGCTGGCGCTGCAGGGAGGGTGCTGGGGTCCCGCACAGGGGATCCAGGCTGGGCGGGAGGCCGTGGCCTGCGCCCACACCCCGAGTCCTGGAGGGTCAGGAGCTCTCTCTCCACCATGGCCTCTCCCTGCGGGCAGGTCCCAAGCAGCAGGTGCCGACTGACAGTGGCTGGGAACGCGGCCCGGCCGACTGCCGTGTAAGGATTCTGGGGGAGGCAGGGCCGGGCCTGGGGCAGCTTCTCAGCCCCAGCATCCGGGACCCAGGCTTCCCCAGCCCTGGGCTCTGCTGTCCTGGCAGCATCCACGCAGGGCCGTGCAGGCAGCGGCTGGGGCTCCAGCACAGCGGCCCCACCCTCTCGGGCGGCTCTCCCACTGCTCAGCTCTGTGTGGAGGCAGGAAGTGACTCCTTCCCAGAAGTCCTCACCGGCCTTCCCTCAGTGGTTCATTGGTCAGCACCAGGTCACATGATCCTAAAAGACCAAATATAACCAAGGAATAGAGGGTTCATTTCCAACCCAACCATTCACAGTCCACTTGCAACTCCGAGGGGTGGGACCTTGCCCCTGTTACATGTCTACTAAGAGGAAATGAGGATGATTTTTAGGAAGACCTGTGAAGACTCCCAGTGCGTGACTGCTGGGAGCTCACGTCCTGAAAGCAGGAATTCTGTCTCCCCCTCCATCAGAGGATCTCCCGTGTGGGTGTTGGTCTGACCCTGGAAGCTTTGGAGGCCTAGGGTCCATGCTGCACCCCACAGCAAGCTGCGGACCCCCATGACCCCCTGTCCCGTGTTTATTTCCTTGTGATTGCAGAAGACACAGACTACTGCCGGAGTCAGCTGTGTCAATGCGACAGGACCGCTGCCTACTGCTTTGCTGCCAATCAGAATACCTATAACAAGAAGTACGAGTACTATTCCAACAGCCGCTGCTCCCAAGTCAAGCAGACTTGCTGACGGGCCCTGGACACCTGCTGCCCCGTGCTGAATTTCCTTGTCTCACGCCCACTCCCACCCTCACCCACAAGACCTGGTCCTGGGGAAAACACTCCTGTCCCACCCTGGAGACAAGGCAGGAGCCCTTCTGTGGCCACCCAGGACAAGAAGCGCCTGCCTGGGGTGGGTCTGACCGGGCCCCTTTCCCTGCTTCCTTGGGCAGCTGGGCATCTCCCCAGGTCCCGCACTCTCCTCCAAGGCCACTCCCTGCTTAGCACTCAGAGCTCCACCCTCTTCTGAATAAAGCGATTCCCCAGCAAACCTTGTGTGTCTGGGTGTGGGTTGGGTGTGCAGGGGCACTCTGCTCTGTGGGCTGCTGTCGGGCAGGACAAAGTGGTAGAACACAGTACAGCGCGGGAGTGAAAAAGGCAGGCTCAGGGGCCAGGCGGCTCTGCGCTAACCCCTCTACGCCACCACCCTAGCACCTGGTGCTCTCTGTAAATGGCCGTGAGGTGGGTGCCTCCTGCAGGGGCTTCCTTGAGAATGCAGGGGGGTGCAGGGGTGAAGCGCTGGGGTCCAGCTTTCTGCAGCTGGCATGGGGCACAAGTATCCCCTCCCTTCTGCATGCCAGCGCACCTCCTGTTGGCCTCCTGGGCTATGTGGAAGTTGTCAGAATCAAAATGGAGTCACTCATCAAGGCCTAACTAATGCATGCATTCCTGAGAAGTAGTCACTGAATAGAAGTATCAATAGAATGGAAGTATTCAGTGTCAGAAGTGACAAGGGCTGTCCACCACGCATAAGAGATCCCTGTGCCAGATACACGTGCTGGGGCAAAGTGCTTTGTCCAACACCTTAACATTCCTCGTTAGGGCTTCTAGAATGTTCTTTGCTCTCCAGAGATAGATAAGAAATGAACTAAAATTCTAAAGCATGAAAGAAGTTTACCTTGGAGACCCAGACCCAGAGGTAATGGCTCTATTTGGTCCATGTTCATGCATATTTCATGCATTTTCTGAATCAATTGGAAAAGCAAAATCTTAAACTGCAATTAAAGAGTTAACATTTAAAAATTTTTAGCTCTTGGTGTACCTATGTTGCATCTCCTTAGCTTTATATTACAATAGATAATTGAAACAAAAATGGGGCAAAGTCTGTTTAAAAGCTTGGCTTATGGTATCTCAGCCAAGGGAGGAACAAAATCTTCAAGGGGTTTTGCAATGTAGACTTACTCAATGGCAACCTGGACCCTAAAAGTCATCCACTTTGAAAACAAAAATGTGGCCTTACCTGGCTGAGAGTGGCTTAGGGTGTGAACATGTCTGCCTTTTTCACCACCCCCCATGACTTGATCAAAATCTTGAGCCATAACAGAGCTGTCTGGCCTCAAACTCAGCTTTGTCTACTGCATGAGCCAGGAAGCACCAAGAGCAATCGCAAATCACCTTTGAAACCATTTTGGAAAATGTTCCCACCTGCACTGATCCATCAAACAAGCCAGACCAGTAAACCAAAGAAAGGATTTTGTGGCCGGCGCCGCGGCTCACTGGGCTAGTCCTCTGCCTGTGGCGCCGGCACACCGGGTTCTAGTCCCAGTTGGGGCGCCAGTTCTGCCCCAGTTGCTCCTCTTCCAGGCCAGCTCTCTGCTGTGGCCCGGGAAGGCAGTGGAGGATGGCCCAAGTCCTTGGGCCCTGCACCCACATGGGAGACCAGGAGGAAGCACCTGGCTCCTGGATTTGGATCGGCACAGCGCGCAGCCGTTTGGGGGGTGAACCAACAGAAGGAAGACCTTTCTCTCTATCTCTCTCTCTCACTAACTCTGCCTGTCAAGAAAGAAAGAAAGAAAGAAAGAAAGAAAGAAAGAAAGAAAGAAAGAAAGAAAGAAAGAAAGAAAGAAAGAAAGAAAGAAAGAAAGAAAGAAAGAAAGAAAGAAAGAAAGAAAGAAAGGATTTTGTTATCAAAGTCAAGGTTGGTGGGAGGGTGGTGGCTCCAGCCAGTCCTGGCGAAAATGAAAACCTGTAAGAGTGAGCCCTGAACTCATTTGAGATTGAAAAACCTGGCAGAAATAGTGCAGGTGGAGAGTGAAAAAGCCTTGAAAATCTAGCTGCTGTGTGAACTGGCTTCCTTGAAAATGTGGCTCACAGCCTACAAACAGCACCTGTCAGGGTGGGTGAGAGTCTTCAAGTGCAGCCCTAAAATCAGGGAACCTTTTTGTCAAAAACGTCTCATGTTGTCAAAAGACATAATTTGATTTCAATCATTCTTTATAAACTGCTGTTTTTATATTACCCCCCTTTTCTGTCTCATAACTAAAATTCTAAAAGGAAAGCGATACAATTTTTGTCTAGACAGGCGTTTTTCCTCCTGTGCATGTTGTCTGCTGTGTCTGTGTGGTGAAATTGCTCATGGAATTCTACTCAGATTGCCTTTCTGTAAGTTAAAAGTGATAAGATTATAGTAATTTGGCCGGCGCTGTGGCATACCAGGTAAGGCTGCCGCCTGCAGTGCCAGCATCCCATATGGGCGCCGGTTCATGTCCCGGCTGCTCCACTTCCAATCCAGCTCTCTGCTATGGCCTGGGAAAGCAGTGAAGACGGCCTGAGTCCTTGAGCCCCTGCACCCATGTGGGAGACCTGAAGAAGCTCCTGGCTCCTGGCTTCGGACTGGCTCAGCTCTGGCCATTGCGGCCATCTAGGGAGTGAACCAGCGGGTGGAAGACTCTCTCTCTCTTCTCTCCTCTCTCTCTCTGTCTCTCTGCCTCTTCCTCTGCCTCTCTGTAAATCTGCCTTTCAAATAAATAAATAAATCTTTTAAAAAAGATTATAATAGTTAGCCCAAATACCTTCTAATTCACCTTCCTTAAGTAAAATTTTCTGCAAATATTGTTTTAAATTTGTTAGGAAGCAAATTAGAGTTGCTAGCCTGTGCTCTGGCTGGGCCTACTGGCCAGGAAGGGGTGCCTGTGTTTCTGAGAGGTGAGAGGGCAAGAGAGCGTGACTGTGACCTAGGACAAGTGACTGTGACCGAGGACAAGTCTGCCTCGGGAGCTCCGGGCTTCTGTGTCTCGCCTCAGCATTTGCACTCTCCGCGTTTTTCTTTGGCCAAGAAGTAACTTGAAATGATGACTTCGCTTGCCTAATACCTCCGTACTCATCCGCGATCTAGTGTTCATGGTTAGAATGAGCAAATTAGGAGAAGGTAAAAAGGATAAATATGTATATGTATTCAATTAAAATTTAAATTTATAATCATAAATTAGGTAATACATACAAAATATCTCAGTCATTCCTGAGTAAGTGAAATATTGAGGCATTGATTGCTTCGTAATAAATTCAAGTACTCTTGGCTTACAGAATTCTACCAAAAAGACAATATATTTGAGTATATTAATAGTTACTATTCTATGTTGAAAAATGTTTGCTCTGTTAGAGAGCACATGTCTTTACAAATTATAAAATACAGTTGGGGTGGCACTGTGGCGCAGTAGGTTAATCCTCCACCTTGCGCCACCGGCATCCCATATGGGCGCCAGTTCGAGTCCCGGCTGCTCCTCTTCCGATCCAGCTCTCTGCTGTGGCCTGGGAAAGCAGTGGAAGATGGCCCAAGTGCTTGGGTCCCTGCACCCACTTGGGAAACCCAGAAGAAACTCCTGGCTCCTGGCTTTGGATCAGCCCAGCTCCAGCTGTTGCAGCCATTTGGGGAGTGAACCAACGGATGGAGGACCTCTCTCTCTCTCCCTCTCTCTGTCTGTAACTCTACCTCTCAGATAAATAAAGAAATAAATAGCACACTCACACATGGTGGATCATGTCACAAACACCTCATCACTTCCATCCTCGCGTTCTGAGAGTTAAACTGTACCTATATAACTCATGACACAAAGTACACTGGAAACCAACGTGGGAGAGGTTTTTGAGGAACGCAATTGAACAAAATATTTGTATTAAAAACCAAGTAATTGTGTCTCGGTCAAAAAAAAACTGTAACACCCTTTCGAAAAGTCACTTGCAGAAAGGAAATGACAAGAGGACAGATAGGAACACGCACCCAGAGGGAAAGACGCAAAGGAGCCGATAAATGTGACCGCGTGGTTTGGGTAAGGAAAGTTTAAAACGGGAGAGCGACTGTTTGTCTACGAGAAAGAATGCTGTGAGCTAGAACAAAGACTTCCTCGGAAAGCGGGATGACTGGGCTCCTCCGGAACAGGAAAAAGCGGAGAGCGGGCAGCCCAGACGGTGCGGGCAGAGCGCACAGGGTCGGAGCGGGCGTGCAGCCTGTGAGCCTCACGCCCTGTGCGGCCGTGGCGATCAGTAGGAAGAAAAGACAAGTTTTACTAAAAACTGAGCTTCAGTCGACTGATGTGAAGCCAGGCTTTAATTCTGTTTCGGGGAGGCAGGTTTTCCTGCTAGGAGCTTTTTCCTCTCCGGATCCCAGTTTACAAGTCTGACGCTGGAAACGTTTGTCCTCGGTGGATGTGGACGGTCCCGTGTGGGTCCCGCGTGTTCACCTTCCCAGGGCGCCCGCCCTCCTGTCTGCAGGTCCTGTCTGTGCACTTGTGTTCTGCCGCGTAGGATGCGCATGCGCAGCCCGGCCCAGACGCCCGCAGGTGCAATTGCGATCCAGCGCCCCCACCACGGCTGCCCACCAGCTAGGCCCTGGGCTGCCCACCAGGAGAAGTGACCATAGGGCGGGAGGCGTTCCTTTACCTTTAGGCACCTGGCCCAGCATAATTTCCTGTGCTGATGGGATCTTCTAGGTTTTCTATTACTTCGTAAAACTGACCTGACCGGAGTTTAAGAATTATGTTGCTTCCATCTGCTTTTGAAGTTATTGTAGTCACTCTGATTAGATGAGTGACTGTTACTTCATGAAGATCTGAATCCTTAATTAGACGTTTTAAGCCTTTCGGCATTTTTGTCATTCTTCCCTGAGGGTCAAAATTCTAAACTCAATCTTTTTTATTTTAGATTTTCCAGTGGGTCCCTGGACATTCCCCCAGCTGCCTCTCACCATGGGAGATGAGGAACTAAGCACGCGTACTTGGTGTGATGGGGTGCAGGGAAGCTTTGCCACGTGATGAAGTGAAGCTAGGTCTGGGTACTGGTGTGAATGCTCTAAAGAGTGTCTGAAATTCACAAATCTGAGGCTCCTGGTGTGACACTCTCAGTTCAGACCACCGTCTTCGATACTGTTTGCAGCGAAAGCAGCTGCACTTTCTTGTTGAACTCTGATCAGAATTTCTCCCGTGGCTGTTCCAGAGTGGACTCTCTAAAAGCATTCGGAGTCATGTACTTTTTTTAATTAAAAAATCTATTTTCATT